GGAGCAGGCCTAAGCTAGCAGGTCATTATCTCCTGAGGGGTCCCAGACTGCGAGAGGGCACAGGATGGGCTGAGGGACCCCCTTTCCCCCCTGAGTGCACAAATTTTTGTGCACCGGGCCTCTAGTTTTATTATAACAGGATTGGAAAAAGGCATAAAAAGAGAAAAAATGCATTAGCCATGAGCTCCACCATAGTTGATATTGGAATGTAATTGTGGAGCAGTGCTCTGAATAGCCAGGGTATATTGAGACCATATTCTGGGTTATATTACTCCTATAGTGGTCCCAGGAAGAAATTTAGGAGGTCCATGAACTTGGATGAGAAGAAAAGAAATGCCCCTTTACTTTTTTCTTATCTCTAATTGAAAATTGGGCATTTCTTTCCACTATCACTGTAGGCAGCAAACCACAATAGCATAATAGTAGCTGTGACATCATTGTCAATAAAATTTACAGATATTTTTATAACACATTAGAGTTGCTGCAGATAACTTGAATTATTATTTTTGCTCATCATTACTTCAAAAATACAGTAGTTACTGGGTCTTCACTACAGTAAAGAAGTCATATATATGTATTAATCCATCACAAATTTGTTTTTAAAATGTTTTAAATTTTTTTAATATAGTTGTTTTTTTCTAACCCTATGTACTTTTTAAATGAGTTTAATATTATTCTGCGAAGGAGTCTAAAGCTTTACCAGGCACCATAAGGATCCAAATTGGATAAAAGGCTAAGAACCCAGTGGTGGAAGAAGGCACAAGTCTATAGAAGAAAAATTTTTTCAGACACTAAGTGATCAATTATTGAGCACACAAACAAAAGCATCATGTACATCTATTTGAAAAAAGAAAAATGCTGAGTGATATATTGGAAAATATCTGACAAAAATATATAGCTAATGTAAGAAGAATTAAATATATATATTGATTTCAGAGAGGAAGAGAGAGGGAGAGAAACATCAATGATGAGAGAGAGTCATTGATCAGCTGCCTCCTGCATGCCCCAGACTGGGGATCAAGCTCACACCCAGGCATGTGCCCTGACTGGGAATTGAACTGTGACTTTCTGGTTCATAGGTCGACACTCAACCACTGAGCCACACCAGCTAGGCAAGAAGAATTTTTAATTAATATTCAATAAAAACCAAAGGCAAAACATTATAGGAAAACGTGGTGATCTTACATGGAGTGAGCATGATGGCAGGAATAAGTCAATGTGACTGGGTGTGTACTCTTTGGTGATTTTACGTTATGTGTTGGTAGAACTTGGAAAATCTAGAGGAATGAAGAGATAACAAAACACATACTAGTCCAAAAGACCATGACAGGTTTTCTGCTATCGTGGAGCTTACATTTGTGTGTGTGTGTGTGTGTGTGTGTGTGTGTGTGGCAAAACATTATAGGAAAACGTGGTGATCTTACATGGAGTGAGCATGATGGCAGGAATAAGTCAATGTGACTGGGTGTGTACTCTTTGGTGATTTTACTTTATGTGTTGGTAGAACTTGGAAAATCCAGAGGAATGAAGAGATAACAGAACACATACTAGTCCAAAAAACCATGACAGGTTTTCTGCTATCGTGGAGCTTACATTCGTGTGTGTGTGTGTGTGTGTGTGTGTGTGTGTGTGTGTGGTAGGTGTGTGTAGGAAGGGCAATGGCCCTGTTGACTCATATGGAGGTACCCATTTTTCCAACTAAGACAAGAATTTTCTACATTTCCCCTTTCCGGACTTTGTCTTGCCCATTGTCAGTGTAGAATGTGTACTAGTACACATATCAAAGGCAGGGACTTCATTTATGGCCATTCTGAGTGCTGTTCAGTTTTGGTATATTTATATTTATTTATATTTATATTTATATTTATATTTATATTTATATTCTGTGCCTCCTTCTTTCTTAGATGTAGGTCCTTTATGAAGTGACTGTGGTAGAGTAACTGTCATTCATGCATACACATTGGCCAGATCCCACTGGAGGGGTAGGGGCAAGCCCCAATGGTATATAACCAAAGTGAGCCAAGGAGAATTGTGACAAATGTTTACAAGGAGGGATAAGGCAATGAAATCTCTTTTGAAAGCAGACACCCGAGAGGCGTATGGACTGACTCTGGGAGGTCCGAGAAACTCCATGGGGCTGGGAGTCAAGGTGTATCAGTTCAACTCCAAGATGCAGATTTTTGTGACGATGCAGAACTGAGGAGCACTGTTGCACTGGGACTGGGGGCAAGAAGTAGGGTACGGGTACTCAGATGATGATTTTTCCTGGGAACCAAAGGATAAGTCTGAGTTTGGCTAAAGATCACTTTGTTCTGCATCCTTTATTCATTTCTCTTCCTGAAACCTGCATAGGATGTACTCAAGAGGTTTGATAGTGCCAAGAGTGACTGCAGAAAAAGGAGGACACAGAGAGAGAGAGCCAGTGGAGAACAACCTTAGACATTTTAGTGGATGGAAAAGAGTTCACCTGCCTCATGTCCCTATTCCGGCACCTCCCCCCGTAATAGCACAGGTGCTTGAGAAACCATGCAGGCCAAGGGCTGCTTCAGGCGGAGGATGGTTGGGTTAGAGGGCTTTCCCATCTGGTGGGCTCTTTGTTCTTGAAGATATAGCTCCTCTGTCCGCACTTACTGGAAGATGTAGAGTGTTTTGCAGGGCAGGCTCAGAGTCCTCCAGACCTCAGTTCATACCCCAGCTCCATCCCCAACTGCATTGTGACCTTGGGCCTCTTGCTTAGCGCTCCAAGCTGCAGATCCTTTATGAGAAATAGGGGCCATAAGAGTATTTAACACATAGGGCTATTATGAGAATTAAACACAGTCCTGTAGCCCTTTGTACACTAGTAAAATGTATGTAATTGCAATTTTTTTTTAAATGCAATGATCTCTCTTCATAGACAGAGCGTTCCTTTAAGACAGGGTAAGGTTTTGTTGTTGTTTTTTTTCCTTTTTCTTTTTGTCCCAAGTGCTTAATATCTAGTACCCAACAAAGCCCTTAATGCTCTTAGTTAGGTCTTTTTTCTTTTCATTTTTATATCCCAAGTGCTTAATATCTAGCACCCAACAAAGCCCTTAATGCTGTTAGTTAAGTAAAATCAGATCATATACCTATGGCTGGAATTTCCAGAAAGTAGGTTGTCAGGTTCAACAAGAAACCATGAAGACTTAGCAAAATCGCTTCTCCTCTGGTTACTTCTCTTCATTGCGGGCCCTGAAGTCATAATGCTGTGCAGATGTGTCTGACTTGACAGGAGACTTTTGCTTTTCTGTCTAGAAAATAGGAGCCACATTCAGTTGCCTATTTTAATGGCTGACTAGCCGCCCTCCCCCCCACACACACACTTATGTGCTCTCTCGCTGCGTGTGCACTAAACAGCTTCACTCTAACAGTTGGCTGTCAACAGAATCCATCAATTGTTTTAGTCTCTTGTTGACCCAGCCTAACAGATCATTTCATGTCCTGTAGACCAAACAACTGATTGGTTCAATAGGGTAAAATTTAGTCAGCTTGTTTAAAAAACTTGAAATAACTGATGTAGTGACATGTTTCAAATTGCTTTATAGTCTCAAATTTGACACTGAGTCAGCTATGTTTATTTTGCTTTACAAATGTAAGGGCTCTTAAAAGGTGAAAAGTAGATCTCAACAATTATTTTACTGCCAAACAACATGGGATCAGTGCTTCAGTGTGAAAATGCTGATTGTGAAATCTGTGAACACACTATTGGAGAAGAAAAATATCATGAAATTAAGTTAAGAAAGCTAATAATTTCTCTTTTATCATGTCACTTTCAGAGACTCTACTATATTGGAAAATATATTTCCTAAGGTTCGATTGAAGAGGATTTAATATATTTCTTGGTTTGTTAAGTCGGCCTACACTAAGGCAAGGTTTTACAAATCCATTAGGGGTTCGGAAGAGAAAGACGGACAGAGGACCCAGATGCTTTGACGAGAGACGCAGGAATTGACATTTTGATATGTCGCATTACGTGAAATGATTTGGCAATTGGACAACAGAGTTGTCTCTTGTATTAGCACACTCGAACAGCAGCAGAAAAACAACCTTCCATTTTATTTTCATGAGATTTATTGTTTTTTAATAATGCCACTTTTCAGAAGTATAGTCATGTGCTCACTTAGACAGGCTGACAAAGTGAAAACTTGTACGTGATGCAAAGTACCCTTTGGGCCATAGATTAAGACATAGATAGTGCAGTGACAAGTCAAGTCAAACGCCCGCAGCAGACAACAAATCCCAACCTCCCCTTCCCATGATCTGGCTCCCATTTTGCACCATAGAACCCACAGTGGATATCTGGGCAAAACATAGAACACAGATGGCTACCGACAGACATGAAAAGTAAATTTTATTAAACATGTTTACATACATGAGTTGGAAGTTCATTTAAAAGCACAGGGGAGTGTTAAGACAAGTGGTCAAAATAGAAAGATACTACCCAATTATAGTTGATTGTTGGCCACTAAGACAGAACGGAATCTAGTAGAAGTGCACCAATGCTTCAGTTCTTCCTGCTCAGCATGGTGAGTAGTGGTCAGTCTGTGCCCTATGGAATGACGGGCAGGTGATTCTGGCATGTGTAAATAATGATAAAGAATTCACTTGGTGCAGGCAGTATGTCTATGGATTAAAACCTAGTGTGTACACAGTGTCTACATGTGTTACAGCCCCACAGTTAGAATCTACACCAAAATATTTATTAGAAGGAATTTGGTCCATACTACATCACGTTTTCCGGAGGGTAAAAAATAAAGTCCATCTATAGACATTTCACCCCAGGTTCACAGATCGAGTCTGGCAGAAACCTGCAAAATGTCTATAACAAAAATGGATGGCTTAGATTTCTTGGTTATTTCAGTATAGTAATTAACGAGCAAAATGTACAAGTACATGCAACATACAAGCGGGCCTATGTGGAACTAACATACATTATTAAATAGCCTTTTGTTTCTTTTCTCTTTCATTTTTTATTTATTATTTTATTTTTTTACAAAATGTGCATGCAGCGTTGAACAGTTCCAAGTCATGCTGCTCTATCTGTGTAGTCACAAAAGTTGAATGACTCATAAAAGGAGGAGAACATGTCAATGCACCTGCAGGGTCTGCAGTATGGAACGCACACACAGAATGCCACAAGGGAAAGTCAAGGCCAAGAAAAACTCAGATGAAGAAAATGCACATTGAAATTTGACTTTGTTTTATCTCCCCCCCCAAAAGTAAGATACTTTGCATTAAAAAACCCCCCAAAAAACGAGCTTTGTGCTTGCATCGATCTCAAAGAAATGTAAACTAAAATTCGATGAAAACATTAGTTTAGTGCAGAATAGTTCAACTGGACTTTCCAGTGAAATACTGAACAGCTCACACCATGCTCTTTCCGGGTGGACGGGTGTGTCTGCACTGAGGCACAGCCGTGAAGCCCGGGCATAGCCGACAGTGTCTTAGATCCAAATCCATTTTAATCACCATTTGAAGTAAAAAGTGTGGTTTGTACACATGAGCATATACTTTTTTTTTTATATCGGGAAGAAAAAGGCATCACAAGGAGTGTTTCCAAGGTACGATTATGTAGTTAATTTTAGTTCCCAGCATTAGTTGCAGATTGACTTCTTTAAAAGTCTTCCATGCAGAACAATGGAAAAGAAAGTAATATTTTTAGAATGCGAACAGATGTGCTCTCCATTAAACATGGTGATTCAGGGATTATTTTTTTGGAAGATAACTTTTTGTTTTCAGGGTTTCCACACAGCAGACTGAAGAATTATAGCATGAAAGCCAGTGGAGCCCTTCAGGGGCCTCGCCTTGTTCAGCTGTTGAACACGCAGGGGAGATGCTACAGAGGCTGCTTCAGCCCTTTTTGTGGCGAGTTTGGAAAAAGAAAGGAAGGGTCTCTGTAAGCATCACGAGGCCTGTCATGACACAGCCGAAAACCAGTGTAAATAACAAACTCAGTGAAAAACGAAACAAAACAAATCCAAAAGCAACAAATAACACACACAGAAACAAAACACAAAAGAACAAAATTTGTCGAACACCAGGGAAATAACACTGCTCGTGGTCTGTGTAAAAACGTGTAAAATACAACTTATCACAGAGTGAGAGTTTCCAGTTTGTTCAATTTGGGGTGCGTGCGTGTGGGCGTATGTGCGTGCGTGTGTGTGTGTGTGTGTGTGTGTGTGTGTGAGTGTGTGTGTGTAAATTGAAGTTTCTTCTTTTTCGTTTTTTTAGAAGCATTAGTGGTTCTCACTAGCTTGTTGGCTCTTATTGTAATCTGATACACTGCCTTGTTCTGTCATATGAAGCCAGATTTGAAACAACAGTTGGGACACATTATTGAAAAACTACTACAGGCAAAGCACAAGTTGATTGTCTGTCTCCAACAATGCTTTTGATCATGAAATATCTGGTTCCGATTATTATCCTGAAAGGTAGAGCTTTATTGGAATGACTCTAGTATGAGTTC